GCTGTACCATTAACCTTTTCCCACTACACCTATTCAATATTCATGCCACATTTCTTCCTGTAAACCTAGACTACTTGCCAATCTGCTGACATTTATAGTGTCCTCCAACAATATAAACTTCACCATCCTTTCAGATGGGCAGGGATGAAACCCTGTACTTCTGCTTCAGCTCTTTGGACAAGGGGGAAGATCTATCTCCCTGCAAGTGTTAGGAGGTATATTGAAATGTCTCCTTTGGCTCTTGCTTTTTTTCATAAGTCACAAAGCCATTGAACTTTATTTTAGTTGTTGCTATTTTGGTTATGGCCACAAAGGGAAGAGCTAATAAGTTAGTTGTTTAATCACATTGTCTTGAGGAAAAAGAAGCTATAAAGAAACTAACCCAATTACTTGATTGACTGATTTTTGAAAACACAGCTAGAATAGGTGGTGTGCATATAGTTTGAAAGATATAGTTTCTGCAGATTTCTAATGGGTCTTGTTGAACCAACTCCTTAGAGCATGGGTGCCCTCATTTAGACACTACAAGAAAAACATGAATCACTTATAAGATACTTTTTTCCTATAGGCAAAACTGGGACTACCAAAGGAAAATTGGATTAAGAAAAATAAATTTCAGAAGKAAATAGATCTAAAAATATTCCACTGGGCTCCTCCACCCCAATTGGCTGGAACACCTGGATTTTTATAAGTATAATTTTAGCTAGAGAAACACTGAAAAGATATAAAATAGAAAATAATGATTTTCTGGGAAATTGTGGTTGGCAGTCTTCTTCTTCAGATGTGGAAGAGCAATTTTGCAAAAATATGTATTTGTTTTAAAGAATAAGTTGTAAATTCAAGTACTGCCATGCTGGTGATTAAAATTCACAATTGCTTAAATTTATACCCAAATTTCCTTCTTTGTAGGATAATTAACAGATAACAGAGGCACAAAGATATGAACTACAGTGCTTACTCTTGTAATAATTAAATGAAATGATTGTTTTAATGTGTGCACTAAACAAGTATATTAAAACCATATTATGGATTCATAGCTATGTAGGATGTGCTTTATTAGGCTTTAAAAAATAGGTAAGCCATCTTAAATGGAAACAGGGATATGTTCAATATATAGCCAAAACAACTGCCAACCAAAATGGCACTGAATTTAAGGAAGTGGATTATAGTTTTGTGGTGAATTCATTTCTGGTGTATTGAATAGGAATTCAGAGGAAGACTATTAAAAATTCTAAGAAGAGTTAGCATGATTTAAGAGTCAGACAAGCCTCTTGCTAGACCATGGCAATAATATAAAGACATAATTTAGTATAGTTGGAGGATAAGATAAACAAAGTAAGATTATTTGAGACCTCACAGTCTTATTCTATATCTCTCAGCGTGCGCACACACACACACACACACACACACACACACACTCACACTCAACATGTGAGCATTAACATTTTGTAGAAGAGAAGTTGAGCTGAACACACAAACTCATTTTTTATGATAATGTCTGTTAGACATGAATGTCACAACAGTTGGCCAGACAAATGGTAAAATCATCACAGACTGTTGAGTGATTCAAAAGTAGATCACAGAAAGAACTTTACAACATACTGTAGGAAACAACGTAATGTTGGTGAAGCAAAAAAAAAAAAAAAACCACCTGACATCAGTCTTTTCCACTGCTAACTTTTAATATTTTCATGTAGTTTCAAAGTTAGAAATTTACAGCATTTATAAAATTATTAAAGGTTAGGACCTAAATGCTAAAGCTATTGTTTAACATCAATATATTTACTATACATGGCTTTTGCTAGTTTGGGCCTGAAATACTCCATAAAGACCCATGTGTTGAAGGGTTGGTCCTCAGCTTGGTACTTTTGGAAAGTGGTGAAACCTTTAGGAGATGGGCCCTAGTGGTGGGAATTTAGGTCATTGGGGTTGTGCCATTGAAGGGGATATTAGGACTCAGTTACTTCTTCTTTCTCTCTTTTGCTTCCTGGCCCTGAGGAGAGTGGTTTTGCTTTACCACATTCTCTTGCTATAATATGCCACCACAGGCTCAAAGCAGTAGGTTCAACAGACAGTGGACTAAAACCTCTAAAACTATGAACCAAAATAAACCTTTTATTTTTATAAATTGATTATTCCTGGTATTTGTCATAGTGATGAAAAATAGACTAACACAGCTTTTTTGTAGAAACAATACAAATTAGGTATGTGTCCTAGTTCTTTCTCCACCACCATTAAAACAACAATAAAGGAGATTAGGGTTCAGAGCTATTGTAAAAAATTTGGCAGATTTTGTCCTTAAGAGTTAAATTCTAAATCCATACATTTAATGTAATAGATCTTGTTGTTTTGATCAAAATTTTAAAAGATTTTTCTTCATTTACAGATGTCAAATATAATTGAACATAAACATATGGTGATGGAAAAATTCTATAAAGATTCTTTGGTAATGATTATTAATGTTTATTTAAAAAGGCAGAATTGGGTAAGAAGTTGCTTTTAGAAAAGTTATTTTTTTTATGTTCTCCCTGACCTTAAATAGTTGTCAATCAGATGCAGTCTCTTTTATAATTTGATTTCTCTCTTATTGAAAAGCCATGGTACTACGTGTAATGAATGAATCATTTGAAGATAAGAGGCTAAATAAATTTTCCTAATAGTTTTAAATTTATGCTTTTGTTTTTCATTCCATATGCTCTTCTAACCTATAGTGATTTGCTTGGGAAACCCTGGCTCACCCTGTGTAGGCTCATGTCAAACAAATGCACTTTAATCAATGGTGGTGACTTATTGTTCCCTGGAGTGGTTATTTAATTTTGCAAACTTCAAAAACTGGGCAAATGACCTTTCTCTGTTTTCTAGATGTAAATGAATTTTTTATCAAGTGCCATCCTTTGAGAACAGTAACTGTGACCTTTTGGTTAGGTTTATGGCCCTATAGATGAGCTGCTTGGAAACAATCTCTTATTACTTCTAAACAAGCAGTGTACCCTCTAAGCTTTCCAAATGCTCATTTGCTCATTGACCACCTCTGCCATATATGATAAGCTTTACTTAAGCTTTGTAGAAAATTGGGCTATAATAGCTTCTCTTCCAGTCCCTGCTCTTCAAAGCATGAAATTTGATACAAAATTTATTTACATTCAGAAAACAGAGAGGAAGGTCATTTGCCCAATTTTTGCAGTTTGCTGTCGTAGCAAGGGAAAAGTAAATGACCACTTCATTTTCTTTGCAAGTATGAAGGTGAGGAGGTGCTGGCCATAGGGAAATTTGGCCTTGTTGTCCTGTCTACTCATGAGCTGTAGTAGATGTTCAATCCTTGTTTATTGAGTTTTAATGTAAGATCATTCCAAAGTAGGCTAAATTTTGGCACTCTATTTCTGTGTCACTTTCTAAGTAGATGGCCTCCCACAGGAACCAGCCCCATGGGAGCTGCAAAAACACATAAAGAGGAGAGAAGCATGGGAATTAAATATCCAAAGAATAAAAGTGTCAGTGTCTGTGTCTAGACATCTTTTGAATTATGAGCACAGATAGAATCTTTGGTCTCAAACATTCAACAGAATGTGCTAGGGGAAAATTGTGGCATTTTGGAAACAAACAGATCTGTGCCTATAGCCTAACTCTGTTACTTACTAATATTCTACCTTGGGCAGGTTACTTAACCTCTCTGAGGTTCAGTTCTTCTTATAAGATGGATGTATTGCCTTTTATTTTGGAATCTTATTATCTATGGGTACTTCAATAATAGCAGAGTTTCAACTTTTTTTCCAGGTTTGCTTTAGTCAGACTTCCAATACTGTAACAAATACCTGAAACTTATAAGAGAAAACGTTTATTTGGACTCACAGGTTTGGAAGTTTTAGTCTATAGCCAGTTGGTCTTTTGCTKTTGGGGTTATGGTAAAGCAGTACATCATGGATATTGCATGGTGAGAAAGGGTCTGGAGTTCCAATATCCCCTTTAAGGATCCACCCTTATTGACCTAAGACCTCCAATAGGCCCATCTCCTAAAGGTTCTACCTCCTCCCAATAGTGCCATGCTGGGGACTAAGTCATTGACACATGAGTCTTTGAGGCAACTCAGAGTCCAAACTACAGCAGGTGTCTCCTAGATGCTTGCATCAGGGCTGGAAGGTATACAACATTTTCATTAATCTTCCTACCAACTATGCAATGCAGATTGTACCATTTCCATTATACAATGATTAAATGGAGAGATAGTGTATAGAGGAATCTGTACAAGATTGTGGAGCTAAGTGTGAGAGCAGAGAATTGATTTTAAATTTACTTAATTTGTAGATTTAGGCTTTATTTTACCCTGATTCATAAAGATTTATTTTTCTTTTCATTCCCTAAATGGAATTACACAGTTTTCTAATTAATCTGTTTACCCTCTTCTGAAAGGTGGCAGTCCTGTTACCCATAACGAACTCCAAGTATCTCAATAGTTTTCATTATTACTCACTTATTCAGAATCTACCACCACATAGGTAATGGTTTTAGTTTTCACTATTGATCTAAGATCTTTCCAATAGGTTTCTTCTAAATTATTTCAGATTAGCTACTGAAATACTGAAGTCCAATGCAATTTAGGTCAGTGAGATTTTGAATAATCCTACCTGAGAAAGAAAGCAAGATGTTACCTCCTGGATAAGTAAAAAGTACAATAGTGTCTTGTCTTTTCTGAATAGTCAAAATCCTGCTGGCCATAAGTCTACATGTGATGTCAGTGGGAACTTTGAATACTCAGGGTGGAGATGCCTAACTTGGATGATCTGACTCTGGAGCTATTAGCAGAAGCTGGAAATGCTTACAGCCATGGATGAGTCAGAAGGCTGTGAACCCTGGACTTATTCTGACAGTTGTCTTTAATTGAAGGATTCTGGCAAGTCAGCTATTCAGACAGCACCAGCTCTATGGAAATCTTCTGACTTTCCCAAGTTTTATTTTATTTCTTACTCAGCTTCTTGGATTTTGTTTCTGTTTTCCATTTTCAGATTTATAATCGCTTAGATACAAATTGTTGTGGATTCAGACCACGCAAGGAAGATGCCTGTGTACAGAATGGATTGAGGCCAAATTGTGATGACCAAAATTCTGCGACTCTAGCACACATTATCCAGCGAAAGCATGACCCGAGGCATTTGGTCTTTATAGACAATAAGGGTTTCTTCGACAGAAGTGAAGATAACTTAAACTTCAAATTGTTAGAAGGCATCAAAGAGTAAGTTTGTTGTGGGAATAACATCCTCTGGATGTGGCATTTATGTTAAGTAAGTGGTAAGGTTAGGAGAAAACTCACACCATATGTCTGATAGCTTTAACCCTTGAAAGGAACTGTGAATGTGAATCTGCGAGTGGTGAACTGGAGAAAGGACGGATGTCTAGAGTGCATTGGGGCATCAATTAACAACCTGCACGGGTGTGTTCCTTGTTCCTCATTATGAAAATCCACATGGGTTAAGTTGGAAGACCGCAGGATGCTTGGAATAAGAAATGGCCAAAGAGGAATAAGCAGGTGGCAGAGGCTGTGTTATTAGGGCATGCAAKAGGACATGGTGGCAACTAACAGATATGTAGATATTTCGATGGCAGGATGTCCAGATTCATAATAAACTCAAGTGGCTTTTATGAAGGCTGTGTAAAATTAAAGCCAATCTGGTGTGTAAGGTACAATATCCAAGGGACAGCTGGATATTTAAGTTTAGGTAGGAAGCTTTTTTGGGGGTGGGGGGAGTTGGTACCAGGGATTAAACCCAGGGGTGTTTAACCACTGAGCAACCTCCCCAGTCCTTTTTATTTTTGATTTTGAGACAGGGTCTTGCTAAGTTGCTCAGGGCCTTGCTAAATTGCTAATGCTGGCTTTGATCAGGTAGGACGGTTTTGGGGACACTTGAAAATCCTTTAAATAGACAAAGATTTTGGAGGAAAGTGTTTGACATCTAAAAGGGAGGGCTGATGAGAACCAGATAAGGGAACGAGTATAGCTATACTCAGGAATGACCAAGAATTTAGGGGAGACCTCAAAAATCTGGTGACATTTGGCAGGACTTAGAAAGAATGCAGGGTAGAGTGGGGACAAATGTGGAACTAGAGAAAATGAATTTTGCTTTGCAGAAGTTAAAGTTAAAATACAATAGGAAGGTGGGTATAAGCAAAACATATAATACACACGTGTGAAAATGTCACAATAAAACCCATTATTTTCTACAATTATTATGCACTATTCATTGTAAGTAACAACATGATGGGCGCTTATGGAATACTTGATCTTACATTTATTTGAAAACAAGGAATGTACACACTTAATAGTGGCAGGAACCAGCTATAAAGTTTGAGCTATTCAACCCTAGCATGGAAACTGACTATATTTCAAGGTGATGAGAGATTTCAAAGAGAACCATCTTCTCTTTGCTTCCTACCTTGGTCTAAAATCAGATTGACTAGGACACTGRGGTAAGTTGGAGACTTACAAATACAATGATACTTTAGTACAATAGTAATTCTGTGAAGTTAAGTGACTGCTGGAAAGCATACCGGCAAGTCTAAAATTGAGTTACGCCTGTCAAAGTGGCACATGACTGAATCTCAGCTATTCTAGATGCGGAGGCAGGAGGATATTAAGTTTGAGGCCAGCCTGGGTCTCAGTGAGATATCACCTAAAAAAAAAAATGAATATAGTTGAAGTTAAAACTCAGTTCTTCCAAATCCAAGCCCAATATTTTTTTCTTGTAATAATATGTGGTGTTCATGCTTGGTTACTATTACTTTTCTCAATAAAGGTTAAATGGAGCTCACTGATAGAGAGCTTGCCTACCATACATGAGACCCTGGGTTCAATCACCAGCACTGCAGAAAACAAAAGCCGAAATAAAACAAAACAAAAACACCTAAAGTTTCTTGTTTGTAATACTCTGAAGCATATTTTGATTATTCTTCCTGAACTCTAATACTTAGGTAATGTGGATTTTATATACTTTAAAGATTAAAAGATTTTATATACTTCAAAGATTAAAAAGTGAGTTTTGTGAGACCAATTTCATGAGGTTTTGCCATGTTACCTATCCTATTGACTATTGATACTTGTTCTTCAAGTTATTTTATTTTTTATTTTTATTTTTTTGCACCARGATATGAACCCAGGGGCACTTAACCACGGAACCACATTCCCAGCCTTTTTAAAATTTTATATTTGGAAACAGGGTCTTGCTAATTTGGCTAGGACCTTGCTAAGTTGCTGAGGTTGGCTTTGAACTTGTGATCCTCCTGCCTCAGCATCCTGAGCTTCTGGGATCACAGGCATGGGACACCTTGCCCAGCTTCATGTTCTGTTTTTGTATTGAAGGTAGAATATATGACAGATTCTATTTTTTGAGTGTCTAAACTAAGGAAATTTTATGTGTAGGAAAATTTACATTCCTAAGACATCACTTACTTAATTGATATTTCAGGACCTGAAATTTCTTCTCAGAATTAAAAGTTCCTGCAGAATATACTCCATCCACTTTAAACATTCATGTAGATATAATAGTCTTATTTGTTTTTTCAGAGAAAATTTAACTTCAAGTATATTGTGAGGAGCATTGGGTTTAAAGCTAAATCTTGGAAATATAATTCACACATTGAGAAGTTAAATGAAGACTTCACTAATTCCAGATTTATGCATTGAATATTCCTGTTAATCAGTGTAATGCAAAGACCAGTGATATTTTTGTTTTCTTTTATGAAGAGGATTAGTCACTAAAGAGACTTATGGTTTTAACAGTTTCATCTCATATATTCTGCCACAACTAAATTAGTTGAAGGGTTATAGAACATATAAATGGATCATTAATACTTCATAGAGTAAAAAGGCTACTCAATTAATATTGTAGCCCACTAGATCATATAATAAATGTCTCAGGAAACTCAGAGCATCTTGTAAGCATTATGTCATTCMTTCCACATGTCTCAGAATTATTAAACATCCTTAGCTCTGGGGCCTTTGGTTTTCAGGTAGGATCAGAATGGCTAGAGCCCATAGATCCCTTGAATTCATATATCCCATGTGCCATTCCTCCTGTGACTCATCAAAAAGAGATGGCCGGGCATGGTAGTGTATGCCTGAAATCCCAGCGCCTGAGGCAGGAGTATCGCCAATTCAAAGTCAGCCCCAGCAACTTAGTAAGAAAAGGAAAGGGCTGAGGATGTGGCTCAGTGGTTAAGTGCCCTGAGTTCAATCTCTGGTATTAAAAAAAAAAATGGAAGAGGTGCTTAGAAGGTCTGAAATTTCTGGCCGTGTGTACTCTTTAAGCGAGTAAGTATTCTTGCTATAGTTTTAAAGGTACAACTGAATTTATTTTAAAATTAGTATTAACCCTAATATTTTATAATACTTCTATCAACATTTTAGTGAAAGCTGGGAAAGACCAAATGGTATTTTGTACCCTCTTAAGGTAATGCAACAAAGACCCTTCCAAGCTGGCCTTAGGTTTACCCAGAGAGATGTCTTATGCAGTGACTTGGCTCTAAAACTTGTGTCACTAAATTTATTTGAAAAAACATTTGTGCAAGTCAGCTTTCCATGACGGTAGCAAATACCAGAGATAATCAATTTATTAAAATGAAAATTTTCTTTTGGTATATAGTTTTGTAGCTTTCAGTCGATAACCAATTGGCTCTGTTGTTTTGGGTCTGTGGTAGCCCAGTATATCATGGTGGGAGTGCATGGAAGAGTAGTCCCATCTACCTCRTGGCTAAGAATCTGAAGAGAGAGGAAAAGGAAGCGGGAAGGACCCCACTATCTCCTTCAAGGTAGCAATCTAAAACCTCCCAYTAGGCCCACCTTTTAAAGGTTTTACTGTCTCCCAATAGTACTACCCTGAGGACCAAGCTCTTAACATATGGGTCTCTTAGGGGACATTCTAGATCAAAACTGTGTCCAACGTTAACRATCCACTAAATATAATGCTCCCAGAAATCCCAAATGTATGTAGTAAAATGATAAATTTTCCTCTCTCAGTTGTATAACTTCTACTCTTTGAGAACACTTTACTGAAACTGTCAGCACTTTGCTTCTCACATTTTCATACATAAAATCCCACCTTGTCACTTGTGAGGATGCTGATGAAATGGAGCTCAAGACTGAAGAAAGTATTTTTGCTTGTCTCAAGGAAACCTAATTCTGTGCCACTCTTTGCCTACATACAAATGACCTTAAATAAAACATTAGTATGTCAGGTTCTCAATGGGTTAGGAAATTCAGTTCATTCGAAACRCATGCTTCTACTATATTATTATTAAGAGAAGTGTCATCTTGGCAGTGACAAAAATGTTTTGGTTCWCAAGGTATCATTTAATTACGTGATCTATGCGGGATGAATGGCAGGGCAGTTGGGAAAGGACTCATATTTCTAAGCAATTACTAAGGATGAAATATCACGTTGTCTTTTCAGGTTTCCAGAATCTGCAGTTTCTGTTCTGAAGAGCCAGCATTTACGGCAGAAACTCCTTCAGTCTCTGTTTCTTGATAAGGTTTACTGGGAAAGTCAAGGTGGTAGACAAGGAATCGAAAAGCTTATTGATGTAATAGAACAGAGAGCCAAAATTCTTATCACTTACATCAATGCACATGGGGTCAAAGTGCTACCTATGAATGAATGACATAAGGGTCTTCTGTCGACACTGCTGGATGTGTTTATGCATTTTTGTTTGTTTTGAAATCAAGTACATCAACCTCAAGTCCTCCTAGGAATGAGACAGTATATCTGAATATAAAAACATAAAATTAATTTAACCTGAGCACTATATGCAGACGTTAAAATGGTTTAAAAATGCATACAGCTCAAAAATATTCATTTATATTTTTGTCTAACATGGCATGTGTGTCTCAACATCTGGCTATGGGAGAGTTCTAATTATTATTCCAACTAATTTGGAAAAGCATTTGTCATGTCACTTAATAGAGCAGTATAAACCAGAAATACTGACTCCTTTAATAAAATATATTTTATGCCATTTGACTTATCTGACCAGCTACGAATGGGAATGGTTCTTGAGGTTATTCTGTCTCTGATAGATGACAATCCTGGCACTGCCCAGAGGCAATCTACATTGGGAAATTGAGGCACATGATCTGTGAAAGCAGAGGAGGCTATAAATGTATTCTAAATAGAATTGATGGATGAATTCCAAAACCACCAGTATATTTTCTATAGTATCTAAGTAATCAGCCATCTTTGAGCAGTAAGAATAACATTCTATTGATTTTTTAAAAAACTTACTTTGTTGTCAGTATGGAAACATCCATATCTGACAGTGTTATATGTTGGTTAGCTTTGCTTTCTCAGTTTTGACCCAATTTATGTTTAGTGTTTTAGAAATTAAACAATTCTAAAGTCTGATGTTACCTATTTGAAAATACACTTAGTATTTTTTCAATGAATACTTTAAAAAACTTTGTCATTTTACCAAGGACATAATTTCTGTATATTTTATTAATAATAATGGTTTTGTTCTATGTAATTATATTTAATCTGATTTAATTGATGTTGCCCAGATAGTGACAATAGGTCTAAATACAGAGTGAGTTTAAATTTATTGTCTATTTTATTTCAATATGAGAAGTATAAGCAAAATAAATTAAAACTTTACTCTGATCAGTTCTTCTCAATGAGAACACATAACCACAACTAAAACAATGAACTTGGACAATGTTAACCCACAAATAATTACCCCAAACTTCCTCTGTGAACTCTGTAATGAGTTTGGAAGGACTTTGACATAATTGTATCCATCTGTTGGGTCTTCATGTTCCTGGAAGTTACCCAAGATCATCTTGTATCATAGGTACTCATAAAGAGGCTTCAAATCTAGAACAAATCATCATTTCCCTCCCACTCTCCCCATCCTGCTCCTTACGTAAAATTTGATTTACTGACTGGGATATAGTTCAGTGGTACAGCCCTTGCCTTGGGTTCTATCCCACAATGTCAAAAACAAACAAACAAACAAACAAACAAACAAACAAAATCAGAAAACAAAGCCAAAAAAAAAAGCAAATAAAACTAATACTAAAAGTTGGTTTATGGGGTATTTCTTTCCCCAAATATTTCAATATACAAATTATGAATGTTTACAATAAATTCTATTGTCTCTTTTCTCAGTTCTGTTATTCTAACATACAGGACGTTTTTCTGTATTCTCATCAAAGATAACTCAATATCATTGTGAATTAAAACCATTAAAGATATTAGATTATAGGCTGGATTTTAAAAGAAGAACATATGTTTAGATTTTAATTTATAAAAATCTATAGAGTAAATTATCAAAATAGGATGTTAAGCACAAAGAGAAGATGGACAAAGGGAGAGGGATCATTTGATTACCAATTTATAACTTGTTTAGGCTCATCTTCAATAGTACACTTAGCATCCTTATTTGCTGTATCTGTCCTCTGAAAGTTGATCTTGGATAATTCTTCTCTGATTTTCCCCATACAGCAGAGGGAGTACCTCTCTCTGTTCCCACAAATTCATAGTACTTKTTGGTCCATTGAGTTCTTACTCTGTCTGTTCTGACCCTGCTGTCTATAAATCTTCTCTCATAAATCATTCTCTTAATAGAAGAATTAGCCTAACACAAGTTTGGAGACATTGATGTGAAATAACTTTTTTTTTCAAGTTGTCTTAWACCTAGTCTTATCAAAGTGAAATATCTGCAAATAGGGTTTTTAAAAATATAATTTACCATCTTAACCTAAATTTGTGATATTGATGGTATGAATTCCAAGCTCCTTAGAAGCTATCTTTAATGTGGTCTCAAGCTACACTGCTGCTTTCCTCCCATATGTGAACCAGACTGTATTTGCCTTTAGTTATTCCAAAATATCTAATACAAAATGAAAGGTCCAAGAACACATTTATTTTAGCAACATTAGAATTTTAACAGTGTRTTGTGCTTTATAATCAGTGAATAATTCATGATGTATTATTTTTGAATAATGGATAGCTAAAGGCTAAGCTGTTAATTCTAATAGGTAACTTTCTTCTTTAATTGAAACAATGAGAACACTTTGTGCATTTCAGATGCACTCAGATTATGCTGTAATTTGGTTCTCATAAGCAATTATATGGTTTATTTATAACACTATAACAAATTTAAAATAGAATAATTTACCATGGAAGACATGCAAAAACTTACTCTGTATGACATTTCTTTAAACTGATGATAAGAAAGTAAATATGTAGCTTAAAAATCTGTAATAAAACATTAGATAGTAAATATGTGTGCTATTTTTGGTAAGTGGGTTCATTTTCTTTTCTGTAGATGGGTTAATTTTCAAAAGCTGAATATAGAAGAATCTTTGTTACCTTTATCCATGAATAAAGAAATGATTGAACAATCAAGACCTGTACTGAATAATATTTGTGTGTGGATATATTTGATATCATCATTAATGATCATTATACTTTCTCTTGGTGTGTGTGTGTGTGTGTGTGTGTGTGTGTGTGTATACTGAGGCATAATATGGCAAAGGGACTTTCCCCAATTTATACAGATGTTGACCTAGAATCTACAGTGCTGGAAATGACATAGAAAGTTAGAACACCAAAACTTTCTCAGAGATTTCATTATCTACCAAGACAAAATAAAAAAAATTCTAACTTCAAGCATAAGGGTATTACAAATACACACTCATAAGTAGTGATAAATTTAGGCTATATTTTTGGGAACCTGCTGAGAATGAAATAAATAAGGAAGCTACCCATTCTTTGAAACTTGTGAAAATCATATTGCCCAGTTGACTGAACATCTCCCACGTGTTATGCTCTGTGCTAGACAGTACAGATGTTCAAATGAACCAGGAAAGTTTTAATACAGTAACCATMAGATAAGACCTGTAATTAGGTTTTAAGTTACACTCTTAGTGGCAAAAGTATAGGAAAGCAATTCTTTTGAGGAATGTCCAGGAATAGAAATCRCTTAAGTCAGGTTTTAGTCACTGTTGGCAGACTGCATAGCTCTGGGTCTAAGGTAAGGAAGAATATCATGGTGGAAGGGCATGGTAGAGGAAAACAATTCAGAACATGACAACCAAAATGCAGAGAGAGAGAGAGGTGGAAGCCTCCACGACCCCAACTTTATAACTTTGCATTCCTATAGAACCAACTACTAGGTTGATATTAAGATCTGTTATCATATTGAGCTATATCCAAGTCTCCTAGGACTATGACTCAGTAGCCTCTAAGTACCTGGGCAATCAAGCACAGTGAAATAATTTCCTGGGTCTCTGTGTAGGGTGTTCAAATTCTTAAAGGAATTTTTACTTTTATACTCTTGAGCCTGAGATGGATAAGGTCTCACCAATTCCTCAGGTGCCTTCAAGCCATCTTTCCTATTGTTTCTTGGTAAAGTACTTAGCATTTTTATTGACTGTAATTTCTTCAACAACCACAGCTATTTAGCTCAAGTTTTACTTGCATTTTTTTCTGATCAAACTTCAAGTTTTTCAAATCCTTTTACTCTGCTTGTTTGCTCCTGATTATCACAGTAAACTTGACTAGGAGCTGCCAGCAATATACATGTCATGRTCTGAATGCTGTACTGCCCTGAAATTTCCTCTGCCAGGTCAATTAGTTCATCACCTTTAAATTCAGTCACACAGAAAGTCTCAGGAAATGGGAAGAAATGTAGACAAAATTCTTTACCAGAATGAAACTTAAATGGCCTTTAGTCCAATTTCCAATAGATTCCTCTTTCTTATCTGAAACTTCATGAGCCCAGTCTTTACTATCCACAGTCCTACCGGCATTGACATTCAGGTTTTTGAACCCCCACTTGAATCACACATTAAGCTTTCCTTATAACAATCTAAAACTTTTACAGCTTACATCTCTAAACTTGTCACAATTCATATCTCCACAAATCRGGTCCCAAGGTTTTTGAACCACACGGTCAGGTTAGTCATAGCAATGGTCCCACTCCTGGTACCAATTTCTGTTTTAGTCTGTTTCTCATTACTGAGACCAAGAGATATGACAAGAACAATTTAGAGGTGGATAAGTTTATTTTGTCTTGTGGTTTCAGAGGTTCAGTGCATGGTCAGTTGACTCCACAGTTCTGGGCCTAAGGTGAGGAAGTACATCAAGGTGGAAGGGTGTGGAGGAGTAAAGCAACTCAGAACTTAGTAATGAGGAAGCAGATTKAGAGAAAGGAAGAGAGAGCTCTGTTTGCCAAGGATAAAATATTAACCCCCCTGTGATCTACTTCTTCCAGTCAAATCCTACCTGCCTTGGGTTACCACCCAGTTAATTCATATCAGTGGATTAATCCATCAATTAAGTTGTACCTTTCATAATCTGATCATTTCACCTCAAAATTCTTGTATTGTCTCACATTTGAGATTTGTGGGGACACCTCATATCTAAACCACAACAGAAATTATAAGACTAAAGGTTTTTTTTCTTTTGTACTCAGATTAGGAGTTTCATTGTATCTGTAGTCTATTTTTTACTACTATTATTCAAAGTGATAATTCCAAGTCATTTGGTGGCTGAACAAATTGACCTAATCACTTTAATATCTTGTGTGCATCTCTGTGTTCCAGTATGATAGGAATGGGAGACAAAAGTAGATATTTGTAATGAATACCATGATTAGTCAAAAATGTGTTAACTTAAGTTCTGTGTTGTACCAGTGGCACTAAACTTTTTATGAGCTCTGATTCACTTTGAGAAGCTGATTAAAAGTAGAGCCTGTCTATATAATTCTCCATATAATTTCAAGGATTCCTCAGATTTGTGGATATCCATTTATGGAAATCTTTCTTCCAGGATCTTTGGTTTCCCAGGTTAAGCACRCTTGCTTTCCAGTGTGGTTAAGAGGATGGGAAATTTCATTATGCACTATAGAAAAATTTTTGCTTAATATATTTTGTTTCTATACCAAGCTGGAAACTTAAGTTTGGGCAAATAATATTTAATTAAAATAYCTTATTCACAGTAGAATTTGAAGGATCATTCACTTTATTGATACTTAAACATTTGCAGCCCATGCTATTAGTGCCCAAACTACTTCCATTTATTCAATATGTAATCCTTTCAGATTTATTTTTGATTAATGCTTTAAGTTATTAAAAAATTATCAGCTGACTTATTTGCTCTGATTTATATATTGGTTTAGAGTGTGGGAGAAGTTAATGTATAGTATTAAAAGAAGTTATTTCATTTACTGCTTGGAGTTTACTGAGTATTACCATAAAGTTCCCACTTTTTATAAAACAATTTCCTAAATAAATWCATGAACTTTTGCCAATGGTTTACTACCTTGACATTTATGCAAAGAAGTATATGTAACCCTTTCTTACTGTGGCCTTTTTAAAAACAAAACAAAACAAAAAAACAAAACCTTCACTCTTAAAGGAGTTGAGTGTCTATACTCATTTCACCTTTTGCCCCCTTTCCCATTTACACACAGCTGTCTTATGTCAAAATATGGCATCTTCCCTACTTTTTAAGCTCTTTAGTCTCCTGGGATAGGGCCCTGCTGTAAGAAAAGTCTGATTCAGAGTTGTTGGCAGACTTTTGTTTCAGAATCTAAAAATGCACATGGTCATTGAATGAAGTCACATAAATTMTTTCTTGCAACACCATTGCATGTGGTTACATTAGTGTAATTCTTTTTTTTTCTTTATGGAAGGACACCTTTTTACCCTAATGATTTAAACATGTATTTAGTTTGTGGATAAAAATATGCACAATTATGGGCACATTAAGAAAGCCCTATGTATCTTGTTTCTAAAAAAGTAATCTGTATTTCTTAACAGCACTTGTCAAGATTTTCTAAAGCTTTTGTGACAGAGCTAAAAAATAAAGAAAACCTCCCTTGTCAGTGGCTGTAATCACATACTGCAGAATAGCTAGCTGTGCTATATTTCAAAAGGCAAAATGGGCTTCAGAGACTGGGACCAGTCACTAAATGAGACTGAAACAGCTGTGATTTTGTTGAATGTGCCAACAGTTTCTTTAGCTCCAGGACACCAGACATTACTTCCTTTATAAAGTACCCTATGTTATTGGCTCAACTTCTGTTTCGGGGAATAAGAGATTATGTTCTGTATCCTCAGTTTGGGCCCCCAGGACTATTAAAAATTGAGGTCAGTGCTGTTTTTTTGAAACTTGATAGTACTTTAGAAAAACTAGATCATGATCCAGATATCCTTTCTAACTTTGTGAGAATATGTTCTGATTCAGCTTGCAAATTTAGTTTTTTTAAGACAACAATGGAATAATTTATAGTTTCTCTTAGATGGATTCAATAGTCCTGTGTTTGAATCAGGTAACAAATCACCCTTAAAGTGTAAGACATTCCCAAGAGTTTTGATGACTATTGTGACAATGCTTATTTGTAGCTAGTAGTGTGTCATTTCTTTGTCTTACTGTATCATTTCCTTTGTTGGTTGCAACACCAAAATTATTATCTCAAATACAGGAAATGTATAGTATTAATTTATGGAGGAGGAATATGACAGCATGCAAAGTGACAAATTCATATTAAAGACAAAATTCCTAATTAAACCTTTAGCACAGACTTTCTCAACATCATCAGTAGAGATATTTTGGATCAGATAATTCTTTGTCATGGGCAGTTCTTGTGCATTGCAGGATGTTTAGTGGCATCTCTGCCATTTACCCATTAGATGCCAGTAGACACAACCTGTCTAGATGTGACAAATGAAACAGTCTCTAGACCATGCAGAATATCACCCGGAAGGCAAAATCATCCCCCAGTGAGAACTCAGTGTGATAGTTTAGATATGAGTTGTTCCCCAAAAGCATAAGTGTGAGGCAATGCRAGAGAGTTCAGAATGAATGAATTATAAGAGTCTCAACCCAATTACAGTGCCTTAATCCACTGGTATGGACTAATTGGAGGTASCTGTACACAGGTACGGTGTGACTAGAGGAGATAGGTTGCTGGGTGTATGCTTTKGGGACATATATTTTTGCCCTGGTGAATGAACACTCTCTGTTTCATGATTGCCATGTTCTAAGATGCTTTCCTCCTCCACATTCTTCTGCCATGATGTTCTGCCTCACCTGGAGCCCAGAGAAATGGTGTTGGCTGTCTGTTGACAGAGAACTCTGAAACCATGACTCCCAAATAAACTTTGCCTCCTCTAACCTTGTTCTTGTAAGTTCTTGTGGTCATAGAAGGAAAAAAAAAAAATGAAAACAAACCAAAAAAAAAAAAACCCAAGCCTAATGAAAACACCTGGCCCATTGAGTCCCCCAWAAAAGGTTAACTTTCTGCTTGCTTTCTTTCCCCTTACATTTAGTTTATGCAGATTTTCTCTGTCGTATTCCTTTCATTAGGATTTAT